GTGTCCTTAATATTTTTCTTTTAATGATAAAAATTTATTATTTTGCAATCCAAGTATCCCACATACAAAAAGTGACTATTATTAATTGGTAGAGAATGGGCCACGCTCCCTGCATTAATGATGAAGATACTTGAAGACCGAATTTGCAACTTGCGTATCACCCATTCACTGGGCGCCAAAGTACAGGGATCAAATTTGTCCCATTATTATGTTGATTAAGATTTTTTTTTTATTAAATTTTTGGTATTCGATAATTACATTAAATTCAAATTAATTCAGAATTGAACCATATCAGATCTCATTTGAAAAAGAACTCTCTCAATACTTGTTTTTTTATTCATAAGATTTGAATTCAAAATCTTATTTAAAAATAATTTCGGTACTTCCCTTTGAACCAATGTGCAGTTGGCACGTGGATTAAGATATTTGAACACGAAATTTTGCAACTAGTGTCTTACCCATTGACCGGGCGCCAAAATTGCAAAATCTATCAAAATTGAGATATCAATCAAGAAGACACCATCCTCATATAATCCCAAAGACTATTTACAAAGGTGGGCAAGGAAAAAGAAGAAGAAAAAGACTCAATATACAGTAGATAAGAACAGGGGGGTAAGCATGAAGCAAATAGCCTGGAAAAATACCCCTGTTTTTTTCCATTCTATTGAGACAGCAACCACAAAGACAACATGTTCTATTTTATTCTAGGTAAAAATCTAATGATCTTGACCCTACATGTTGCCAACGGAGATGGGTCTGCAGCTTAATCCCAAGGGAGACCGAGAAAGCTGCTGCTTTGCGGTGATCTCTCTGAGCTCTGGTCTCTTCTCCGGCGACGTCCGGTCCTCAATTTTCTCTGATTCTTGCTTTATCTTCTTAACCTGGCTGTGAACTGGAATCCCCATATCTTCCTTTCCCTTGTTCATGCCTATAATTTTGTTTTCCTCCATAGCTCTTCAAGAGGCCGGAGAAGTTTTTCGAACAAAAAGTCAGGTATGGATTGGAGAAGCAAAAAATTCTCTCAACTCTCTACCTGTCTCTCTGACTATATTATATCTGCAAAATACTTGGATAGAGAGGAATATGTTTATATATAGGAAAAGGAGAAGGAATGGAATAGGAATTCTAATTGGAGACGAAGTAGCTTAGCAGGGGTGGAACACGTATTTCTTTGGATTAATTGAAAGACCAAGACCACTACCTGATTTGAGACGAATAATTACTATGGTTTTATTGGAAAGCCCGGCTCTGGTTCCGTGCGTGGTAAGCAAGATTTGGATACGAGTATTTGTAAGTATTTTATTCGTTAAGAAAAGTATCATATTTGAATTATAAAAAAAAAAATAAATAATAGGTATAAAAATAATATATTTGTAAATATTAAATTAAGTAATAAGTATAAGAGTGTAAAATT